AACCCTTCCCCTGGCAGCCCCTCCCTTCCTGGGAACCCCTGAGCTGTGCCGAGGGAGGCAGAGAGCAACCAGCCTGGGCATCAATCCGTGGCCGCGCCCGACACGCACCTGGCTGCTCCCTGGGGAGAGGGGGCCGCAACGCGGGCCTTGACCCCAGTCCCAGAGCCCTGGGCAGACACACAGCCAGGAGGGCAGGGGGCAGTCCTTCCCCTGGCAGCCCCTCCCTTCCTGGGAACCCCTGAGCTGTGCCGAGGGAGGCAGAGAGCAACCAGCCTGGGCATCAATCCGTGGCCGCGCCCGACACGCACCTGGCTGCTCCCTGGGGAGAGGGGGCCGCAACGCGGGCCTTGACCCCAGTCCCAGAGCCCTGGGCAGACACACAGCCAGGAGGGCAGGGGGCAGTCATGGCCAGGAAGCAGCTGTGCACAGATGTGGCGTGACCTAGAGCCCAGCTGGAACGCCCTGAGTTTGCATCTCAGCAGCACCAGACAGCTCGGGGGCAGCCAAGGGGTGGAGGGCAGGGAGACTGCAGGCAGGCGAGCCCGGAAGGGGTCAGCAGGGTGCAGCCTGGAGAGGTCTTTGCAAAAAGGGGATGCCGGGGCGCAGGTTGGCTTGGGGGGGGCTGGGCTGGGCCTGGGGGAACATGGTCCCCCCTACGGTGAGCTCCGGGGGTGCATTGCACAGATCAGAGCACTTAGCCATAGCAAAGATTATTGGGTCTTCTCCCCACAGGGCAGGTGGCTCTCAGATTCGGCTCCATGGGGCTCCCTCTGGTGCTCTGCAGAGGCTCCTGCTATGGGATGGGAGCAGGCTCCCCGGGGGCGCGGTGCAGAATTTTTCCCTCTTCCCTCCCAGCAGAGGAATCGCCGAGGGAAACCAACGGGCAAAGTCAGCTGCAAGAACATTAAACACGACTGTCCCACCCTGCCTTGCAGCGAGCCTGTCCTGCTGCCGGGACACTGCTGCAAGACCTGCCCAAAGGGTGAGAGCCACGGCCCTGGGACTGTCCGCACGTCACAGCGCCCTGCACGGGCACTCCCATGGGACGGATCGCGCGCGTGGCACGTGGCTGGGCCCCAAGGATAGGAGGAAAGTGGACCATCAGAAGGGGCTTTACTGCTCCAGCAGAGGCAAGGGCCCTGCTCCCAGGAGCTTACAGTCAAACCAGAAAATGCACAGACCCAGCCGGGACGGCGAGAGGGGTGCAGTGACAGCCCCGTGTTAGCAGCATTGTTACTGCTACGCTGTTGTTACCTTCTGTTCTGAGAACGTGTCCACCCCGGCGTGTCAGCTGGCTGCCCACTACACTCGTATCTGAGGGTCTGATCGCTGCGGGGAGGGGTCCAGGGCTAACCCTGGCTGGAACGACACTGTACAAGAGACACAGGGCCTGCTGCCTCCACGCAAGAGGCATCCACTAATGAGTGGAGTTAGGAGGAAATTTCCTTGGTGGGGGGGAAGTTTATTGCCTAATTGTCCAGCAGGGGGCTGACTGCTCTTTTCTCCAGGGCACCAGGCACGCTTGGGGAGGGCAGCAGGCTGAGCAACCCCCGGCACTGGCCATAGGTGCGCCTGTGCTCTTTCCCCCACTCCCTGCCATCTGGCTGCGTGTGTGCCCTGCCTCTGAGCTAGCCTGTTGTTATGGAGTCTGCATTTCCAGCCATGGCAGTGGTGGCTTGTGAAACCCCAGTGCTACCACTGCCACGGTAGGCAGGGCCCTGGGGACCCGTGTGAAGCCATGCACCATGAGAGCAAGGGGCAGTCGGGGAGCCCCGTCTCAAGCTCGCTGAGTGACGGTGGGCAAGTCCCTTCCTTTTCCCGTGCCTCGGTTTCCCCCTGCATGATGGGGATTGTGCTTAGGCCCGGTTGCCCTGAAGATGCAAGGGATGGTTGTAATTGCAACCCGTCCCCTTCCAGCTCCTCCCAGCCTCCCGGAGAAGCGTCCGGAGCCCATCTTCGACAGCTTCGAGTATTTCCAGGACAAGGAGGACGACTTGCATAAGAGCTACAATGACCGCTCCTACCTGAGCTCGGAGGACCTGGCCCGGGACGACAGCCGCACAGGTAGCTTTCTGCCGGACCGCGGTGCCCTTGTGGAGGAGGCCGGCCAGGAGGGGGGCAGGAGGGCTGGGGGTTGTTGCAGGCTTGATTCAGTATTTGCAAGTTTAGAAGCGTGAACCCCAGAGACTGTCAGCCACAGTCCCCCTCCCCCATCCCGATGTCAGTGGAGAATGGGGTTCTTGGGGGCAGTTTGCTTCCCTCCCCCCCCCCCCCAAAAACCCCGCA